GGGGTGGGAATCCTCGTTGTCTCGCTTAGGGGTGTAAATCACGGATTTTGGTTTCACTTAAGGTGTTCACGACGAAATGTCAGCAGTATTTGTAGCCCTCAAAGCATCTTTTAGGGTGCACTCAAAGAAATAATAATAAAGAAGCACTGTCTTTATCTTTTACGGATCAAATGATGTCGAGCCACGCGTGAATTGATTACTCTTGGAGGTTTAATCCAAATTTCCCGACGAGCATCTCCGACTTTTTCACATGGGAGTCCCCCAGGGGGGTTTGCCATATTTCTTGATGTTCCTTCTCAGCTGTGAATAAAACATGTCGTGATATTTGTATATTTGTTAGTTGGTGATTTCAAAGAGCTCTAACATTGCTCGGCGAGCCAAGAGAGTGGTGGATGTTGCAGAAGCAGAGATGGAGAATTCATTAGATCCCGACTATGTTGCAAAGATGGCTGCGGCGAAGGAAAATCTTGGACAGTGTAAGTGTTTTATGTACAATACAGTTCAAAAACAAGAGACGCGCAAGAACTTCTTTTAGTGTCTTCAGGACGCGTGCAGCAAATTTGTAGCTAGGCAGGATTGGTGTAATTAACAAATTGACGTCAGTTTTTCATGCGTCTGTCCTGTTATTGATGATGAATTTCGTCATAACATTGTCAAAGTAGCTGTGGATCCGCAGACTACTTTGACAATGCTATGACGAAATTCATTGTCAATAACAGGACAGACACATGAAAAACTGACGTCAATTTGTTTTTTACGGTAACAAATTGTCAAATTTTCCGCTCTCGCTCGTTGATGCTTCGCATAAATTACAAACTCATTTGTCAGTCCACTTATTGACAATGAAAATGAGCCAATGAGCGCGCGAGAATTTCTGCAGTTATCGTAAAAATGTTGTACAACGGCTTGAATGATGTCTTTGATGTACGTTAAACAGGTATCACACCACTGGTTATTGATGCGAAAGCTGTTGCAACAAATCCGTCGGACAGAAAAGCACAGAGAAAGTTAAGAGAGTCTACAAGGAAGGTAATGTGGAATAATGCCAGCCTGTTTGGTTTTTATATTTTTAACAGGTCGTAGTCAATTTAACATTTTTAAACATTTTTACGATGATTTCATACAGAGGTTTCTAAGGAACGTGTCTGAGATCACACATTCAATTTAACTAAAAAGCTACGAGGGGCCGGAGTGAATCGCTAATCTCTTTATCGTGAAGTGGGAGTATTTCAGCAGATGTAAAAGCGTGAAAAGTGACGCTTCAGCTTGTATGTTTCAACTAACTGAAAGCGAAGTTTTGCTAAGTTTTGTTCACTTGTCATTTTCAGCTCCAAGATGCTGTATCTGGGGTACGAGTGATAGTAACTGGTCCGTCACAAACTGAAGAGGAAGAAGATTTCCCTCCACCTCCTCCTGATATCTCAGGACTTCACATCGGTGAGAATGCACATCGTGAATTAAGAACTGTGCTAAGCTTTTCATGGAGCTCTGTTCGAGCGATGAATCATTTTAGCGATATAAAAACATTTCCTTTCAGTCAAAGGCAAGAACAATGTAATAGCGGTTATTGAGACGGGTTACTGAGACGAATTACGAAGCGTTCTTCTATAATATGAAAATTCTGTACTGTAGTTTTTTGTCTTTTTATGTGCTTTTCGAAAGACGCCGTGCAACTTTCGTCAGCCAATGAATGGCCAATCAGATTGAGGACCAGAGCAAAGGTGATTTGGCTCACGTGATTCTTCTCGCCCTTGCCGCCGGCTCAGATCTTCGTTTTGAATTCCGATTGGTTCAATCACTATTTGTTGATTGTAATTTTACAACAGGAAACTTTTACAGGTGTTGTCAATTAGTAATTTGTTTTCTCGTTTATCCCAGCTACAGCACCAGTTCAAGAAGTGCCTCCACCCCGCCCACCCCTCCCTCAAGAATCCGCTGCACCACCACCACCACGCCCACCCCTCCCATCGGACGAAATGCAAGAAGTTCAAATGGTTTTGGAGCAGCCACCGGAGGACAACAGAATGGCGGTAAGTTTACCAAAGAGTACCTTAAATTGTGGATACCGGAAGGGAGGGTGTAAGCGAGTATTCAAGGCATGACCTTAAAGTCCTTTAGTTTCACGTGGGTTTTTATTTCGTAACGTTATTTCGTGGATCTTCAAAGGATCCCGTAATTAAATTTATCTGACGGAAAATCAAGTTACCACTTGCGTGCTATAATATAGTGTCATCCATTGCAGATTTCTGTTCTATTACCTATTTGCAACTTTAATTTAGCTACTTTGGGGTGGCTAAACTTTTTGCTTTTCTCAGTGGTTTTGTGATTGATTCATCAAATATTCGGCCACCGCTTTTAGCCGGCATTATTGGGCGATTTTTCTCGCCGGAATAATAAACCCGGGGATATTAATAACAGACAGTTGATAGGAGACGTGTCAGTGCTAATCTACGGTAAGGCGCGTAAGTAAGTTCACAGCACAGCACAGTTGCCTTTTCTTTATACAGCTGTTGATTCTATTTCCAGATGGCAGCTCATCATCTTCACCGAGAGGCTCTCAAATGGGAAGAGGAAGGAAATGTACTCATTCAAGCTGCTAAAAAGATGGCCATACTCTTTGCTAAGATGTCACAGTTTATGAGGTGAAATGTTGCCTCGGTCCTTGTCAGTGGAATAACTAAGAAACATGATGTAACCGAGTTTTAATCGGAGTGCTATCTAAATCCTGACTAAAATTTGAATATTCTACCTGAGAAAACTAATACCGCTGCTTATTTTTCAGTAACGGCATTTCTTCAGAAAATGTGGAAAGCTCATGTCTAGACCCTTTGTTAGCAAATTGTCCCATTTCATAAAAACAAATTTTACCCATAGCATTGCAATCTGCAGTTAATGGAGTGAGTGGCAGAAGTCGTTTTTGAGAAGTGAAAAACCTGTTCGGTTTTATCTCCTAATAATATTTCTTTGCTTCCAGAGATGCTGAAGAAGGTCAACCTCAGCGCTCAAAGAAAGAGCTGATAGCACTTGCTAAAGAAATAGCGGCGGCTAGCAAAGAAGTGTCTGCTTATTCTTCCAAGATTGCAAAAGATTGTCCAGATAAGAGAGTCAGTCAGGTGAGTCCATGGAAGGGTACAGTTGCGAATACTTTGTTGCACGACCTCGTAGCACTTGAGAATTGAGGAAATTGAGGAATTGAGGAACGAAAATAAAGATTGATTGAAAGATATTAGAGGCTGGAAAGTCAGGTGGTCAGTTTAACAGTGATGGTATTGGTGTTAAGGCTCGTGTCAATTTTGTTAACAGTCATGTCCCTAATTAGTCCGCAAGGGCTAAATACATTTGACACATAAATAAAGGTTCTTATCTTATCTTATTGGTCGGTTCTCTTAAGTTTCGATCCGTTTGTTGGTCAAGTTAAGTCGATCTGTTTGAGGTTCGTCCATAAGTCGGCTTTTTATGTCTTTAATAAGTCGTTTGTAAGGTGCCAGTAGTTGTTGACATATATTATTTTTATTTTATTGGTGTTCCACTCTATGTTGTTTATTTTTTTTTTAATATTCAAAGTTCAAGCGCGCAATTAGGCGTATAGTCACGTGAAGGTCTGATGTTTTCGCAAAACAGAAGAGAAATAGAGTTGGAAGAAAAAGAAAAGAATTTTTTTTTTTAATGTGAAAACAAGTTCTTTCAAAAGCCATAAAACTACCAGAAAATCTTTAAGAGTGATCGTACAGGATCATTCGGGACAGTGCCCGGGACAGTGCCCGGTCCAATACTTAGAGAATATTGAACCGGCAATGGAGCAATCTGATTGGTTGATTTTTTAGTTATTAGAACCAACTTAGTCGACAGAGTACTAGTAAATGTAAACAAGAAGCCTCTTTGTTCATGCTGTTGTGTGTTAATTTTCAGACACTGACCCAAACAATAGAAAGGATACCAACAATTAGCACCCAGTTGAAGATTGTTGCCACTGTGAAAGCTACAATGATCGGAGCTGACGGTAATCTTGATTCTCTTTGTATGAATGTCTTGCCATATGAAGATGAAAAGATACAGAGAGTGCTTTGTTTCAGACGCTTTTTCCCTAACCTTAAATGACACCTTTAGTGCGGGTTTGTGTTCTTTTTCTAAGGTTTGCTTAACTTTCGCAAGGGACATCTTCATCTTTGATTTTGAACAGTGATATCGAGAAGCTTAAAATCATACCTAAAGCGGTTTATTTAATTTTGTTAGATTTCCTCAACTTCCAAAGGGCAGAGACCATTAAGGAATGAAGATGAGAATGAAAAATGTGAAATTCTACTGTCTCTTTGTCAATGGTTGCGACAGATCTTGCTATATCGTAGATTTTTTTAATGGGAAAAAAATCTTCTAAGATCATAGAATTAAGCTCAGTCGTTGTTACTCAATTACCGAGTAAATCAAGCTACTATGCCCCGCTGAAGCAGCAAAAAATATCATCAGAAAAAACAAACAGAGTATGCCAAAAGGTCTTGTTAATGCGGGAAAATCTGCTTTCAAATATTGTTGGGAAAGCGCTTTACATGTATTAATCTTTCTTTTCTCTTAGATCCCAAGGCGGACGTGGAAGCCACGGAAACTCTTGTGGGATGTGCTGAGAACTTGATGGGAGCTGTCAGACAGGCCGTGCGTGAAACCGAGGCTGCTTCTGTCAAGATGCGTTCTGCTGCAAACTCGTGGAGAAAAAGATAGAATATGGGGAAAACATTTTAAAAAAATATGAGAGAGATTGACGGAAGATTTTACTTTAATGTTTTGTAAAATGATTTTTTTTTTGCTGGAGTGCAACCTAAGGAGATTGGATTGCCATCAGGGAGAAAACGTGTGATGAATACAACAACATTTATATGAGATATAAAACGCGGCCTTTGGAAAGTATTTTTTGGTCTGTATGCAATTATAAACACAGCTTTATTACCAGTGATATTTCTGCTAACGTAAGCCCGCGCTTTGTATCTGATAGCAAATTAATGATGGCCATCGTTGCGTGGCCTTGTGTATTCGAGCAAGAAAGCAGTTTTATTTAGTTTATTGTTACAGCACTAACCCACAGCTGGGCTTGGTTAAATGCGTTATTTTGCCAGGATCAGCAGAATAGTGCAGCCTGCTGGATAGTTTGAAGGAATACAGTGATGAATACATGTGTTGCAGTCATACAATCTCAGACACCTCGAAATACAGACACTTCGTTTTGATGTCCTAATTTAAGAGGTTCTACTATAACTGCTTTTTCATCATTATTGATAGTCAAATTAGGTCAAATTAGCAATACTTGTTGTAGGTACAACGAAATAATATATTTTTTATGCTAAGGAATATTTGAATAATTGAATTGAGAGATTCCATCTTTAGATTTTGTCCGTGATTCTTGAAAAAGAAAACTCTTGGGTCGGTGTTGTGTTAGCCCCCTTCGCAGACGCTCTTTGGGCTCGTCACGCAATCTGAGGAAGATTGTGTGAGGAGCCCAACGAGAGTCTGCTTAGGAGGGTAGTGTGGTGTCACTGACTACAATCGTGTTGCTTAACAACATCTCATCGAATCAGGTCAGACTATGTTGTTGAATTTTTGTCACGTGTGCATCTCCTTCAGCTTCTGGAAAGCCTGGAGATGAGTAGGTCTTCTAGACAGCCCTCATTTGGCTCGTTACGTCACGTTGCTGAAGAGAAGCGTAGCGTAACCATGCAAATAAGGAAACGTGGGAGGAGTAGGTAGGGTTTTTTTTTCCTGTGATAAGGTGATAATAAAAGATATTTCTGGAAGACGTGTGTTGTCCTTTGGTAGAGACCTCTACGTGTAATTGTCTCGTCTTATCTCTTAACCTTTCCATATCACGTCATGGGATAATGGGACGATTATCTCAGGAAAAATGACCATTTGAAGCAAAGTTCGTCGTTCCTTCATATTCTCTCGATGTTATACAGAGTATGCGTATACAGAGTACGCGAGAAGTGCAGAAGTCAGGTGACAATGACTCACACCATGTGCAACTCTTGAGTCGAACCAGGAGCCATAATCGGGGACGGAGACCGTAAGTCTCGGGATTCGCGCGCACCTATGATATGGAACAATTTTTCTATTTTTAGAACAAATTGCGCCATCCAGACGTCATATTTCCGCGCGGATTCACGTACATGTCGGGGGCTCTCGCGTGGATGTTGTCACGTTGCGTGATCAAATGGTGAGAGTTGCCGGAGAGATTCTCTTGCGTATTTTTCACAGCGATGGCAGGGCATAAGGTAGGTAATACGAACCAGGGCGCTTACATGTAGTTTTATGCTCTGAGCTAACGGAAAAGGTGGGTTTTTCAGGGTCGAAAACAAGACTTCAATCTCGCGGTGGGAATGAATAATAAGATCTGCTC